GACTAATAAAAGAGAATTGACAACCCAGAAATAAACTCATATATGTGTGGGAAATAATCTGCAACAAAGGACTGAAAAACATACAATGTAAAAGGGGTCAAATATATAGTGATGGAAGGAGAATTGACTTTGGGTAGTTAACACACAATGCAATAGCCTATATAATTTAATTAACCAACTTTACTCCAATAAATTTAATAAAATAGAATATCCTAAGGAATCAAAAATTAGAATAAATGAGAGTACCAAAGTTGCAGAATACATGTTCAATATATAAAAATCAGTAATATTTTAACATGTTAGAGAAAAACTCCCAAAATGGTATTAATAGAAAATTCCATTTACAATTAACATTAAAATAAATCAAATTCTAAAGAATAAGTTTAACAAGAAAGTAATACTTACATATTAAAAACTATTTACATGGTTGAAAAAGTTAAAGAAGGCATAAATAGACATTTCATGAACATATATTGAAAAACTCATTATTATTAATATGGAAATATTTTACAAATTTATCTCATAGATCAATGTAACAGAATTGAAAGTTAAGAAACAATCTCATACATTTTTTGTATGAGAATTTGTTATATTTGACATATATGAATATGTCAAACATATTCTTTGTTTGAATAATTTTAAGGGTGCCAAGAGAATTTAGTATGGAAAATTTTTTTTTAGGAAATGATGTTGGAACAAAAGGATATCTATATGTACATAAATGAAGTTGAAGCCTTATCTCATGCCATGCATGAAAAATAATTAACTTAAAAGAAATTATAACAAAGTGAGATAAAACTCTTTAAAATACATAAAGATAAATCTTTGCAACCCTAGATTAAGCAATAGTCTATTAGATATGACATCAAAAGCAGTAGTGACAAAAAAAAGATAAACTGATCTTCATCAAAATTAAATTGTGTTTCAAAGGGCACCATCAAGAAAGTGAAAACTTCACCTATAGAATATGAAAACATATTTGCAGACTGTATCTTATAAGCAACCTGTATCCAAAACATGTAAAGAAATTATTACAACTCAATAATTTAAATACAAATAACCCAATTTGCAGTTGAGAAAAATTTAAAGATATATTTCTTCAAAGAATATACACAGATAACAAAGGAGCACATCTTAAGATGGTACATAGTAAGATGGTTAACATCACGCTACCTGAGACAGCTACAATAAAAAACAGACGTCAATAAGTACTGACAAGTGCATGGAGGAAAAAAAAATCCTCATACATTGCTGGTGAGATTGTGAAACAGTACACCTATTTTGGAAGAGTTTGAAAGTTCCTTAAATGTAGAGTTACCACATGACCCAGCAATTCCACTACTATTTATACGCTCAGAAGAACTAGAAATGTATGTGCATATATATATATATCTGTGCATAAATATTTACAGTAGCATTATTAATAAAAGTAAAAATGGAGGAGTATACTAAATGTTAACTGAAGGACAGATAAACAAGTGTATTAAATCATACAATATAATATTATTTGACCACAAATAGAAGTGAAATATTAATATTTGCTACAATATAACCCCTGAACACATCAAGTACGATAAGCCAGTCACAAAAGATCGCATATTGCATAATTCTGTTTATACAAAATGTCCAGAATAGGCAAACCTGAAGATGGTTGTCTGGGTCTTGGTGGGGAGGAACTGCTAATGGCTATGGGTTTCTTTTGGGGTGATGAGCATGTTCTAAAATAAGATAGTGGTAATGATTTCACTTCTTTGTGAATATATTAAAAAACTCCTGAATTGTATCCTTTAAAAATAAATTTATACAACATGTAAATTATGTTTCAATGCAATTTTTAATAAAGATCTTATTTGTTTAATTTTAGAGAGAGGCGAAGGGAGAAAGAAAGAGAGGGAGAAAAACATCATGTGTGGTTGCCTCTCGCGCACCCCTTACTGGGGACCTGGCCCATAACCCAAGCATGAGCCCTGATTGGGAATTGAACCAATGACCCTTTGGTTCACAAGCCAGCACTCAATCCACTGAGCCACACTGGCCAGGGCTGTCTCAATAGTTATCAAAAAGAAGATAATTTGGTAAGCAGATTCCTAAATAGCGATTCATCATTTTTTATATATAACACATGTAATATACAAATTATCACCTCATTAATAATTTAGTTAATTATTTCTCCTTACAATCCAATAAAGTCAATGTTAATGTAACACATATTAATGCATTATCTTTAGAATCACAAAGAAACACAATCAGAAAGCCTATTTCAGCTAGACTTCTATTTTTATATCCATAAGAAATACAACACTTAATTTCTTAGAAATGAAATCAGTAGTCTATCAAAAACCTGAGGAATAATAAAATCTGAGGATTAAGAGAGTTTGTGTTTATTTAAGTAGGAAAGCCTTTGGACACATTTATAAGTTTGTCATTAACAGGTCACAATTAGTGATGTCAAAATTATAAGGAAGACTGATTATGTCTCATGAATATTAAATTAAAATGTAGCATAATTAAGCCTTATAGATTTATTTGCTTGTTTTGTTTTATATATTTAAGATCTGTATAGAAAGTAGCAATATATTTATATAAATAAAATATGTCATGCTAGATAAATTAACATTTGGATATTCTCTGAGATATGTAATGAGACTAACATATTTTGGACAAATAGGTAGGCAAACACTAGTGACATATTTCACATAAACACACACATAAACATATGTTTTACGCATATCTGTGGCATTGTATTTTGGGAAAAAGCAACAACTAACATCCAGGACATCCAAGAGCTATCCAGGTACTAAAAGCTAGGTTTACAGCTAGAAGTTGGTATTCTGTTGAACATTTCAACAAAGAATTTCACAGAATATCAAAATGAGACAGAGTTATTCTGCAATCCTGATGAATCGTAATGAAAACATGTCTACCTCATAATAATATCTTAATTCAAACAAAAATATGAACATTATACCACAAACACTCACCAATCGTGACTAGTATAAATGATTGCTACCTCTTTAAAATTTTTGGCTTTCACTTCTGTCTAGACTTCGGTTCTTCTATATAAGATTTATTATGAACCCAATCAGAATTCTTTTCATATCCTGACAATATCTGATCTAGGCCAAGGTCTCACTTTCTTAAACTCTCCCTCAAATTACATGTCATAAACTCAAACCTCTAATTCCTTTCCGGCACCCTTTTACTGAGATGCCCCATGGATTTACAGGCTGTGTGTCTCCCTCTTGACAATGAGTTATAAACCCAATTTGTACAACTAAGGGTGTGTTGCTGCTGATGTTCATTGGGGATGATTGGCAGTGTGAGTACACACATTCTGAAATGGAAAAATAAATTACTTTTAGTCATTAAGATAGAGCTGAATGTTAGAATGTATGTATCAGAGTCTCTGACAAAAAACTGGAAAATTCATATTTTATTTAAGTTAAAAGTAATAAAGCTATCAAGGGAAAATAAAATAAACATAGATACTTTTGAAGCTTTTTCTCCTAGCCCAACGAATGTTGATTCTTTTTCCCACTGCATGGATAAGCAGTTAATATTAATTTGTGATATATCAGTATGTTAATATCACAAAACTAGCTTTGTGCTTTTAGCTTTTTGTGTATTTTAAACTAATAGTAACTATTAGCATTGTGAGTTGTTGTTTTTTTTTTATATATATTACCAGGGTTTTTCATTTGTTCTTCCTGTCATTGAAATATCAATTAGACTATTGCCAGCTTTTAAAGAGTTCTTCTTTAATGAAATTAACTATATTATTAGCCCAGGTCTTAAATCCCATTTCAGTCACTGAAAATGAGGAATATTTGTAAAAATTGTTACATGCTTTGGAGGATCCAGAATTCTCAATGGTAACCGCAAAACAAAAGAAAGTGGATGAGTTATTTTGGAAGATATCTTTAAATCATTTTGATTGCCTCTGAAAAAATAATCATCTAAGTATATTTGTATTCATTTGATCTGCTTCTGTGACAAGAAGAAACACATTTCTGTTTCAATATAGCTGTTTTTGCAGCCCCTTGAGGGACCTCATGTACACCAAACAAGTCAAAGAATAATTTAACCAATACGTACTTGGTTATTAAACTATTGAAATATCAGTAACTACTCAGAATTTATATGTAGAGTTTCTTTAAACTTCTCATCTAAAAACTGATATAATTATATATGAAAATGTGGATTATCTATGTGTAAAATATATCAATAATTTGACTAAAGCAATCCAAACTCATTATCATCTCTAAGTAACAAATTGAAAGTTTAAATTCTGCAGACCCTCACTTAGCATGGATGGAATGGTCTAAAACAAGGACGAGATGACAAAAATATAGTTTGAAGAAGTAAATTGCACTTGTCACACGTGCCACATCTGGAAATTGCATTTACAAATTAAAATGTGTTCCTTTATTATTCAAAATATATTTAATAACATTGTATAAATTTAACTTGTACAAGGTGTTTATTTGATACATTTATATATTGTAACATGTTCGCCACTATAGCATACTTAGCTCTTCTATCATGTCACATAATAATAATAATAATAATAATAATAATAATAATTCTGTGTGTTAAGAATAATTCAAATCTAGTCACTTATCAAATTGGATGATTATAATACAATATTGTTGTCTACATTCATTATATTGTACATTAGATCTCCAGGATTTATTTATCTACTATTTATAAGTTTGTACCCTTATATCGCATCTTTGCTATACTCCCAGCATCCTGCATCTGGTAACCACCATTTTACACTCTTCTTTAATGTGCTTATTCCTGTTTTGACCTGACATTTGGACTTCGGTGTATGTAAATTTCAAATGAATGTGACACTATAGTGTCAGAAAATGGTTCTTCATCTTGTAATACCTATTTTATTTAAATGGATATAAAGTGAAAATAATGTCTGGATGCAAACCAAGGACATCGAGCACCCCAAGTAATTTTATGAAGAAAGTGATAAATATATTACTTACCGATAGCTATTACAAAGGTCAGTACAGGTGGAATTGTTCTCACAAGGATTCATTTTGCAGTCATTGGATTCTTTTTCACAAAAATTTCCTTCCCAACCAGATGGGCACATGCACTGGTAGCTCTAAGGGAATAATATAAAAATTATATAACCTTAGGCAATTTTTACTATTAAGTCTAAAATCCAGAAATTACTCCAGGCTATTTTGATCTCTCAGTCAATTTATACCTTTTGAAATTTTTATAGAATGTCAATATTTCTTTCAAGTTACTTTTACCACAGTTTAAAAACTGTGTAAACAGTATTTATTAGTATATAATTCAATACAAATTTGTAGTATATCAATAACATCTACATAAGATATGAAAATATTTATGAATTATGCTCAAAATGCAGAACTGTTGACAGTTAAATATCTTAATATAAAAAATAGTCTATCAGTAACACAATGGCAGTGATTGAAATCAAACTAAACAGGAACTCAGCAACTAGCTCACAAGTGTAAAACACACAACTGCAACAAATAAAGCTTCTGTCAGCTTTGTGGCATTACTTACAAATAATTAACCTAGGTGAGTTCCGTACTATTGGTTTATTGAAATTGTAAAACTTTCCATATTATTTTCCTACAGTATGGAGTTGACCTATAACAATATACAAAATACTAAAAGTAAAATTTTGTTTTTCCAGGATTGGGTAAACAAACACACAGCAAATAAACAAAAAACTCTTCAAATTATTATGGGTTAATAACTTATATATTAAAATGTTTTTGTTTTAGAATACTGCTGTTTGTCAAAACAATAGAATTGGAGCTCTTACATGTAAAGACTCTAGATTTAGCATTATGAAAAATATTAAAATCAACTATTATCTTGATCTTCACTGTTAATACAGGAGCAACTAGCTCCATGTGGCTATATAGTAACTGAGATGTGCTGCAAGTATAAAGTACAGATTGAATTTTGAAGATTTAATATTAAATAAATGTAAAGTATCTCACTAATAATTTTATTATTTACATGTTGTAATGATAATAAAGAGTTAAACGGAACACTAGAAAATTAATTTCACCTGTTTCTTTTAACCTTTTCTAATGTGGCTACTAAAAAGTTTACATCACACACGGGTCTCATTACATTTCCACTGGACAGAGCTGTAACAGGTTATGCCAACTCAGTTTCTTTATTGCTAATAGAGTTAAGACATCGACATAGTAATAAGCACATACATGCAGAACAGAAGTTCCCTGAGATTAAAGAACACGTTTAGTTAAATACACCCCAGCACTTTGAGGAGTCTTGGCACCCTGTAGATACTTAACACGTTTGTTGAACAAATGAAGAAGAATAAATATGGTTAAAAAAAGGTAAAAGCTACAGTTAGTGCCCAAAATAGATTACACAGGGATTCTGTATGTTTGCTAGAGGTGAATAACAATCTTATTTCAAACATTACTTTAACCAAAGAAACATGTAAATTCATGTTCCATGTATGCACATTTAGATTACAATAATTCAAATGTGTAAGAATTACCGCTGAGCATTCTGCTTTGGTTTAACAGGGCCAAATGGTTTCCCATGCTTTGTGAGCAGCTGAAAAGCAGAGGGACAAGAGCCACCATATTGTCAACATTGGCCGTTATTCCTGACACGTGTTAATCCTCCACTCAGAGTACTCAGTGACAGTACTCATGGTGTGCTGAATTTTAGGGGCAATCTCTTCATGCGCCGTCACTCTGCATTGTTAAATTTCTCAATGATTGTGGTAACATTCCCAAAGATTTCCTGGGCTGTTTTCCTTCATTTTCTTTTTTGTAAGCATCAAATGAGACTTACATAAAAATTAAATGTAGTGATTGCATTTTGTTTTATGAATCTGCTATTTAAATGGAAGCAATTCTGTAACAGGCAAGTCGAGTCTGTGCTCTGATGAGTGGGGGCTAACTACCCAATTTAGGGATGCACATTAGGGCAGAGTAGGATGGACGACACGTATGTGAAATCTGTGGGGCAAGTTGAGGTGCCCATTAGTTAGGTTCTGACAGTTCACTTTCTAAGAGGTATGAATGATTTCTGTAAAAACAAAAGCATGAGTTTACTGTTGGTTTCTGTTTTAACATCTCAATAATAACAAGAAAAATTTAGTGATTCAAAATAGCCAATCAAATTTCTTTCCCATTAAAGTCATATATTCCTTGAAAGCTAATAATTATTTGTATATATTCTTGATGACTTAAGAATGAGTAGAAAATTCTCATCAATTTAATGGTATAATTATCATTAAAGTGTCAGATATCAAAGCAGTGATCTCCAGATATGAGGGAATCTATATGAAAAGAAAACATGAGGGATGAGGGAAATACTTTTTTTCTAATCTTCAATACTAAAAATATAAACGTCAAAAAGAGAAGAAATGAATATTAAGTAGAACTAACACGGAGTTCAAGTATTTCTAGTCATCCCTTGCCTACTTTATTCAGAAGCACTTTTCTGAATGTAGATATTTTCAGTGCAAGGCACCTTCCTATTCAACATTGCTAAGTTAATTCCAGTAATTTTAAATAATAGTTAAAGGTAAAACATTACTTTTAAATTAAATTATCTTGTCATTAATTAAATTCTACTTTGACCTACGTTTGTTAAGAAAATATATTTAAAATGTATTTATTTACTGAAATTAATAAAAGTGTGCATAATTTTTGAAGTTGGAGCCACATGATTTTTACCTCTTAATATGAAATAGACATTACTCTTCTTGAACAATTCAGATAAAATATTTTGCATACTTTAAAAATATTTAGGTAAGAAGACAGGGGAGACAAAAATGATAGAAGAGGATCCAGAACTAGAATAGGAAGCCACACAGCCAGTGCGACAGAAGACAAAGCAGTCAAGTCTGTTAGGTGCAATAGAATAAACTACATAGTGTTTAGTTTTTTAGATCAAAGCCAGATGATTGAAATGTCTGTGATCAGTGACATATACTGGAGTAAGTAGGACAGAATAATATTGAATATTAATTGTGAAGTCTGAGAAATAAAATTTAAATACTATTTTGTTGCTTATTAAATTTCTAGACATGTTTGTTATAGTGATATTCTCTTGCTGCATAACAAATTACCACAGATTGAACAACATGAAACAACATGAATTTACTCTCTCACAGTTTCTGTTGGTCAGCGTCCAAGTGTGGTTAAGGTCCTTTGCATAGACTCTCACTAGGCTGAAACCAAGGTATTAACTGGGTTGTGATCTCATACAAGGCCTGAGGTAATTTTCTAAACAGTTGTTGTCAGCAAAATTAATTTAATTGTAGCTATAAAACTTAGAGGAAACTGACTTAAATTAGAAATTTAACTTAATTCAGAAGTAAAATGAAGTCTCCATATTCTTGTTGTCAGACACTGACAACATTCAACATCCAGAGGGTGTTTTTAAGTCCTTGGTGTGTGGCCTCCTCTCCTTCTAGCACGGCGGTTTACTTCTTCAGGGCCAAGAGGAGAGCGTTTGCTACTGCAACTTGCCTCTTTTAAGGGCCCATCTAATTAGGTCAGACCCACTCAGGATAATCATACATTTGACAAATTAAAGTCAAGTGATTAGGAATCCTAGTTATATTCATAAAATCTCCTTTTCACAGTAATTTTAGCACGGCAGTAATATCCCATAGTATTCACATATCTTATACTTAAGGGGAAGATCTGTTACATGGCATGATATACTAGGAGGTAAAATCTTGGGACCATTTTATAATTATGCCTACCACATCGACTAACCTTCTTAATCTCTCTAAGTAACTGATTTAAATTCTTCAAACCTCCATTGCCTTCATATGCAAAGAGCCAATGGTATCTATTTTATAAGCTTATTTTGAACATGAAGTGCAATAATGACTGTAACATGCTTAGTGACACATAATTATTATTAATGAATAGCAGTCATTACCTCTAGGCATACCAGTGTAGATCTGATAAAGTCAGTGTAAAACTTGCAGAAAGTATTGCAACTGGATCAGAATTATCCACTTTTATATAATTGCATTGCATGAACAATTTAAGCTACCTACTAAAAGATAGAGTATCAGACCAGGGAACAACAAATAAAAGAGGAGGAGGAAGAGGCTCTAGCAAAGTGTCAATTATAAGACACAAACTTAGATGAAGTAAACAAATTTGAGAACATATAAATTAGGAAAATTGATCATGAAAAAGAGAATATATTATTAAACAAATATAATTTTAAAATGCACCAAATGAGGAAGATTGATAGTAGGATTACATAGACTGAATTAAATTACCTCCCAATCTTTAAATCCCCTTTTATGCCATGTAGGTGCAAAAAAAGTAGAAAAACAAGGGAAACTACCCAACTTATTTTTGAGACTGGTAAAATCTAGTTACCAAGCCTTGCAAGAATATAATAAGAAATGCAAACTCAGCCGAAGTCAATTTAAGATTAAAAAAATAAATAAAATTGACAGGTTGCTGGAGATCTGGCCAAGATAGAGGTGTAGGCAGAGAGTCTTCGCTTTCTTGTACAACCAAAAGAAGGATAACAAGCAACTTAAAAACAAAAGACAAACAGTACTGCCAGAAAATTAAACTGCATGAAAGTCCAACAACAAGGACTTAAAGAAACATTCATCCAAACTGGTAGGAGCAGTGGACACAGGGGCAGAGAGGACACATGGCTAGGCTGCGGTTGGCACCCAGGCGGGTGATCCCACATTTGCACATAGATAAGCCGGGAGGAAAAATGGGGAGCAAGACAGGCCACAAAACCCAGGGTTTCAGTGCAGGAAACTAAAAACTCAAAATCTCTGGTTGTAAAAATATCTGGGGGTTGTGGGGGGAAAAACTCCCAGTCTCACAGCAGAGTCCTTTGGAGAGATCCATGGGGTCCTAGAACATACACAGATCCACCCACCTGCAAATCAGCACCTGAAAGGGCACAATCAACTTATGGGAAGTGAGAGAGGTGACTGAAAGCAGATGGAGAGTCAAGCAAGAAAGTGACATTGTTCCCTCTCTGACCCCTCCCCAACAGATAGCTCCACAATGCAGCAAAGAGGGTTGCCCTACTCTGGTGATACCTAAGGCTCTGCCTCTTATAATGTTACAG